CCACCGGCTCTTTTGCTGCATGATCTGCTGGAAATATGAAAGCTTTATCACTGCATAATCCTCAAAATATTTCTGTCTGGCAATTCATATTTTGCTGCTTTGTCTGACCAAGATAAAGCACAACTATGCTGCCATTACATGCATTATGTCAAATTACACATTACAAATTTTCCACAAGAAAACATGGCAAACTAGAAAACGTCAGAGCTACTAGCACATAGATGAGAAACTACATGCAACAAGGAAACCCAATGCTAAGCTAACAAAAAGATAAATGTAAATGAAAATTCTAAATTATTTTTAGTAAAAAAAAAAAAATCACAAACTAATTCAGCAATAAAGAATAAAATCCAGTAAATCTGCTAAAAGCTAAGTTTTGTTCTCCGAGTGGCAGCACTCTGTTTTTTCCTTAGAGCAATAATTCAAACAGTAAACATACTACAACAAAAAATAATACTATAATAAACAGCACTGTAGTACAAAACCTAATAAAAAATGTATTTGAGGTAAACATTAATTATTTGTATACAGTAGAATCATAAACTTCAATTATATTCGCATCAAAAGGATACAAAAATAAATCTTCAAAGCACTTGCAGGTGAATCATTAAATGTCAACCCCTCTGCACCAATGGCTAAATTGACAAATAATAGTGGGGTACTGACCAAAGGTGCACAGAGAATCTGAAACAAATCTCATACAGAAATCAGGATTCACAACACCACTCCTGTAATTTAACATCATCATGCCATTTCCTCAAGGAATCTCTTCTGTTGATAAGCATCACATTTTCAAAAACTGAAAAGCATTTTAAATTATGTAGTTGGATTTTCACTCCGTTCTTGTCACTCTCATTCTAGAAGTCCTTATACTTACTAAGGACTAACACTAAATGTTTTCAACTGCAACCAGAAAGAGGTGGTTGGAATCAATATTTGGTGATTACCTCCTCCTAAATATAGAAATCAGTGTGTTTTAGAACACAGCTTAGTCCCAGAAATGAATTACAAAACACCCAGTATAAACAGTGAGCCCCAAAATAGCACAGAAGTTACATAGACACTATTCTAACCAACTCAAATTTAGCATAATTGTTTCTTTTCGGGCCTGCTGCTACAAATCTACTCAACATAATAGAACAAGCTAAAGCATAAGACAACGCAAGACAGTACAATAAACAGGCCTGAAAATAAAAAAGGTGGCAGCAGCGGGGCAGAAGCAGTCCCAGGGCTCCAGGACAGAGCTGTTCTCCCCCCTGCTTCTGTGAGGCAGCCCCATCAGCAGCAGTTCCCGGGTGCCCGGTGCGGTGCCCAGCCCCTCTCTGCAATGCCAGGAAGAGCCTTTCTCAGTGCTAGTGCCCAGAGGAAGACCGCACTCAATCTCCAGGCAGGTGGTACACGATCAGAGGGGTCAGATCTACAAGGCTTGAGCACAGCGTTTGCACACAGACACACTGAACATTTTACAAAGGCAGAGGTCTTTGAAATTTCAGATGAGCGTGTTCACGCTGCAGTGCAAAGTTTAGGAAGACATATGCAGAAGAGGAAAAAACCCCAAACCAAAACCCCATGTTCTTGTCACATGTGCCCTTTTTGGTAAATATTAAATCCCTGCTCCAGAAACATGGTATTAACAGAACGTTCTGGATAAAGCCTGCCCTGATAGCAAGGGCCAGCACAAACCACCATAAGCTTCCCCACTCAAATGCAGGGAGGGTGGGAGTCAGACTGGGATATGAGAAAATACAACAAGCTGGCGTAAGACGTTGCACGAGAGTAGGGCCAAAAATGGAGGATCCAAGTGGGAACTGTAGTGGAGAGCTACGAAAAAACTGGAAAGGGAGTTGGGGCAAAGGGAGAAGCCCACCCTGCAGAGGAAAGCTGAAAAAGGAGGAGGTACGGGGAGCCAAAGAAAGGCTCCAGGGAAGAAGGCCAGCCCAGGCATCCCTCGTCTCGCTGTTTCTCCACTGTCAGCAAAGACCTAACAAACCCAGTGGCAAAGCACGCAACTTATCGTCAGTTTATTCTGGAGGCCTTACAGCTCCTCCTTATGGATTCTTGGCCGAGTTAAAAATAAATAAATAAATAAATCTTTCTTTTGCTCTTGTAATATAAGAGGAGCCTTAAGGTAGATGAAAGCAGACCCCACAAAAGGTCCATGCCCTGGTGAACCTTGGTGGCTACTGTAGCTATGGTAAGGGCTTCATCCCCTATCTTCTGTCGCATCTCCAAGATACGGCCAAGGTACATCGCAACACTGGTAATTATTTACTTTCCACAATCCAGAGGAAAGCACTGAAAAAATGGGAGAAGCTCCAAGAACACGGGCATTTGAAATAAGGATTTGACAGACCCCAGGGTGACCCTACAAGAGGTGATGGGTACAGGGCGGTACCTTTAATTGACTCCTGCTTTCTAGGTCTCACACAGAAACAGTCACCGTGAATCTGTGACCCTGTATCTTTCTTGCTTAGTATGTATCCTCAAAAATATTTTAAAACTGTATTTC